CCCCCTCTTTCCCCACCCCCTAAACTCACACTTGACCTTCCTACTTAATACCCAAACCCTGTGTAGAGTTGGGCCATCTCTCTGCCCCTTGAAAGAAGAGTTCTCCAGACCTAGAGATTATCATATTATGTGAAGTCAGTCAATGACAAATATCATATGATATCACTTATATGTGGAATCTAAAAGAAATGATACAAATGAACTTATTTACAAAACAGAAATAGACCCACAGACATAGAAAACAAACTTAGGGTTACCAAAAATGATGGGCGGGGGAGATAAATTAGGAGTTTGGGATTAACATATACACACTACCATATATAAAACAGGTAAACAACAAGGACCTACTGTATAGCACAGGGAACTATACTCAATATCTTGTAATAACCTATACTGGAAAAGAATCTGAAAAAGAATATATATAAATATGTGTGTATAACTGAATCACTTTGCTGTACCCTTGAAACTAACACATTGTAAATTAACTACACTTCAATTAAAAAAAAAAACACAAGAGTTCTCCAGGTTTTCTTTCCTTCCACCCTTCCCCTGTCCCAACCTCCCTGATCTGCCCTTGCCCTCCTAGCTCCCGGCCTCCCCAAGGCCAGCAGTGGCCTTCCAACGCCCACTATCTTGCCTGGGCTCTCTGCCGAGTACCTCCTTCTTCCAGAAAACTTCCTCCCCCTGGCATCTTTTTCTCTCTCTCCCACCACTCAAGCCAGGCCACCTCCTGACATGCCTCTTTGATGCTGGGCTCCCAACAGCTCTGTCTGAGCAGCCCTGTCAATGGACTTGCCCCTGCTACTATGATGGCTTCCATGGCTATCTGAGCACTGCCACCTGCCGCAGTCCAGGCATCGCCCATCATGCTCAGCGTCTTACTCCAAACGTGCTCCTTCTCTCTGTCCCCATCACAGTGAGAGAGAGAGATCACCATCTCTCCTTCTCTCTCCCCGCTCCAACATCCAATCAGTCATCTGGTTTCAGCTCCTGGCATCCCCTGAAGCCAAACGCTCCTCCCCCTCTCTCCAGCGCCCGGTTGCTTCCTGGTCCCATCAGCAAAATTAAAGTTTCTTTCCTGCAGGGCTTGTCAGGGCCTTGAAGATGACAACTTGAGCTACAGCTACCAATAGCTAATGTTTATCAAGTCCTTACTTTACACCAGTCTGTCTCCACCTCGGCACAATTGGCATTTGGGGCTGGATAATTTTGTGTTTAGTGGGGCTGAGGTGTGGGGAATTGGGGCAGGGGGGTGCTGTCCTGTGCATTGTTAAGATGTTTAGCAGAATCCCTGGTCTCTCCTCACTAGATGCCAAGAGCACTGTCCTCTCAAGTAGCAACAACCAGAAATGTCTCCAGACGCTGCCAAATGTCCCTTAAGTGACAAACTCATCTTTGGTTGAGATCCACCGCTCTACACTATAAAGTGTTCTGTTGAGCATTTACTGTAGAGCAGTCCTGTCCGATAGGAATAGAATGTGAGCCACACAGGAAGTTTAAAATTTTAGTCGCTATATTAAAAAAGTAGCAACAAGTAACATTAACTTAGTAATATATTTCACCCTATATATACCCAAAATATTATCGTTTCAACACATCATCAACATAAAAACGTTATTAACGAGATATTTCACTTTTTTTTTTTTTTGGTACAAAGGCTTCCAAAGCCACTGTGTATTTTACATGTACAGCACCTCACAATTCAGACCGGCCAGATGCTGCTCGTGGCTACCACACTGGACAGCACAGCTAAAGCGCAGCTAGCCCTTGGACCACCACCGCCCGCCTTATGTGCATTTGCTCATTGAATTATTCCGAGACTTATTCTTATCTGTTGTACAGATAAGAAAACCGAGGCCCAGAGAGCTAAGATGACTTGGCCAAGATCACAGAGATAGTAAAGGGCAGAGCCAATGGGACCCTAGTTCCCTAAGCATCACCTGGAGGTTCTGGCGGCCTAAGGGACTGCATGTGGTGTTTCCCAAACTTGCGTAAAGATGCCACCCTTCCTTATCTCTGAGCTTGAGTTCTGTGGAGCCCACTAGCCTGCATTTCTGCCCAGCCTCTTCACGCCTGTACCCTGGGGCCATCAGAACTACCCCTTCCCCCAGCCGTTATTCCCCCGGGGCAACTGCATATCTGATCTCATCTGGTCAGTCCCCAAACACCTTCCATGGCTCCCCAGGGCCCTCAGATTCCCCATCCATGGCCTGAGAGGGCCTCATCACTTGCACCAGACTCCCTCATCTCCCTAGCCACTCCCGGCCACCACTGGGACCTGTACACTCTTCTTGGAGAACTCGCTGTTGGCCTCCTCCCCCTGGCAAACTCCTACACACCCTTCAAGGTGCAAATGCTCCCTCCTCTTGGGAGCCTTCCTTTCTCCTCCCCTCCCTGGAAGATTTCAGGGATTTTCCTCCCCCGGCCTGCTCGCTGGAAGGCCCGCAGCATGCCTCGACATTAACTGGACATCACCGACTTTATCACTCTAAGCAGCAATGATCTGGTTTCAAGTCTCATCCCCCTCTCTCCATCCTGAGCACCCAGCATTGGCCTGGCACCCAACAGGCATCAGTAAAGAGTCCCAGAGTTCATGAACCAAGCAGGGCTCTGCTCCCCACTTCCTGCTCAGAGCCTGGGGTCCCACCTTCCTCAGTCCCCCTCTGTTTAGAGAATGTGGGTGGGGGGCAGATTCAACGTGACCTTCGGGGAGGATTGTCACACAACGCAGGGGAGCTGGGTCAGTGAGAACAGAACCGGGTGAGTCAGGGCGTCCCCCAGGGACCTGACTTTTCTTTCTGGGAAAAGGAACAGTAATTTCTCTTCTGTCCCCTGACCAGATGATGAATAATATTATCATTAATAAAAATACCACTGGTCACGGCAGAAGGAATAGCAACATCCACTTAGTGTGTACTGTGCGCCAGAAACAGAATAATCCTGTGGTCAGTCTCTCTCACCTTGTGAAAGGAGGAACTGGGAGGACCCCAATCACCCCAGCACTGCCCTGGCACTTAGTGGGTGCCCCGCAGACATTTGTGAAATGGATAACAAAGTGCACAAATGCCTTCTTTTATAGAGGACTTAACAGAAGCTTAGAGAATTGGGTTAATTCGTCCACATTCTGGTGGAGCGTGGGACTCAAAGCCAATTCTGATTCCCAAAGTTGAGTCCTCTGTGGCCTCATAACCTGGGATGCGAGGGGCTGGGCAGACCTGGGTCTCTCCCCGCCAACCATCCCCCCACCCCCCACCCCCTTTCTCAAGCAGATCCCTGTGGGCGGTGAGCCCCAGAGTGGGCCCTGCTTGGGAGGG